TGACAAAAGCCTAAAGATTCTTTAGACTCTTGTGAAGGGTTAACTGATTATGATAGAATCTTTTAGTATGCTTGGTTATATCTATGTACATGTTTTGTATATGCTTTTCTTACCATCATCTTCTTTTGAGCAATTCGCTTTCGGTGTAAAATTACCGCAGCCAGGCTCTCCAGTTCGCTTTATGTCATGTGAAGAAGCAAAAAAAAAAACTTTTTTTAATTTTCCATCATTATTAAACAAAGTAAATCAAATACATAAGATTTTTCTACAGAACAAAAACGTTATTTTTTCATCAGCAAAGACTTCGTTTTATGCAGAAAGTGACTGCACCTTATCCCTTATCCTATATTAATATGATGAATAAAACAGATGATGGTTTCAAGCAAGGCGGTTCCAGCCTTTTGTGAAGCTGATCGTGTTCTTTACGCTCAGTGGAATGAAATTAATTAGAAACCCTCCTTTGTAAAGCCTATTGCGCTAGCTTTTCCTGCGCGACGGCCRTTTTGAAACCTCTCCCCCTTTTTAAAATCCTGGRTYTGMMACTGTAAAGTGCTCCTTTTTATCTTTTTTTACTTCCATTGTTAACTACTCACCTGTTTCTTATTTGTTGTTGGCCTCTCAGTGACGCTGCTAAAAAGATGCACAATGTGAGGTGTTAAAAGGTAAGTGCTACATTACTTTCTTAACATTTGAAGCATCTGATTTTTCATTAACCTGGTCAGTGGTTTGGTCAGCAACGGTTTAGTAGTTGTAGGTGCCTGTTTCTTATTTGTTGTTGGCCTCTCAGTGACGCTGCTAAAAAGATGCACAATGTGAGGTGTTATAAGGTAAGTGCTACATAACTTTTATAACATTTGAAGCATCTGATTTTTCATTAACCTGGTCAGTGGTTTGGTCAGCAACGGTTTAGTAGTTGTAGGTGCTTGTGTTGTTCTTCTAACTGCGCCTTCAAAATTAAGATGAAAGTCAAAGGATTTTATTTTCCTTTTTGTTTAGAAATAAAGACGGTGCGCCAGAGTCTTAGGGAATAATATTTCATAATAAAAAATCATTAAGTTGCTTACAATACAAAAGTAATGCCAATTTTAAACCTCGAATTTCACATGTGTTGAATTTCAATATAGATGGGCAAAACCTGTTGTTTGGTCTTGCATTAATTTGCAATATATTTGGGACATAACATTCGACGCGGTACACATTTGTTTTTTTATCAACGTACCCATCTTACACGTCAATCCAACGTCTCTACTATGGTAACAGTCTGTATTTCCCCATCCATTGTGACTACAGTCTGCAATCGACGTTTCTCTTCCTGTACAACCGACGTATTGCAGCCATATTATACCCTTGACGGGTGTAAAGTCTGTGGTTTTGTATTCCTGTACTCCAGGGTAACCAAGCATWCGACACACCACCTCAGCGTCTTTCATGTCCCATCCAACGTTACATACAGTACCCCACTGACCATGGTACCTGA